TATTATAATTATCATTCATGGAAAAAGAATTATCCGCACTCATTCCTGGCTGTCCCTTAGAAAGAGGCAAATATATTTCTTCAGAAAAAAACTTATATAATACAGTCTAAGATCTCCAAAAGAAAGTATCTAGCACTTCCCTAGCCTACCCTAGAATTTACTATATAGTAGAACTACAGGAAGACACTAAAAAGTTTAAGACTCCACTTAGAATAACTAAACTCTTAAAAAAAAAAACTAAAAACTATTTATACAAGTATATGAATTGACTCAGGCATTGTAGTGCTTGACATGATAGTGTACCGATATTATAAAATGAAATAGCACTTTGGGGTTGTAATCCATGCTCTGTTGTTGCATTAGGATGACATGGCAAGATCAATGGTTAAAAAGGCATGACTTTTGGTTAAGTCGGTGTGGCTCCTCATTTTAACAATTACTCTATCATGATAATGTAAAAATTGTGCACTACAACACTTCAAAATATAATCTAGCACAAAGGCATTATGATGTTCAACGCTCTATTGTTTAAATTCCTAAGACTCAAGTGCTGCAATTCTAATTTTTAGCACAGTGTTGATAAAATACACTATAGCGATGGCCCAGGCCATGCAGCTATGCTGCTCTTCATGAAATTACAAACCAACCAATAATGTATTACTTGAATTACACGCTGGGACATTGTAGGTGATAATGTTGTAGTGTAGAACTTGTGGGCACTACGGTGCTCATTCAACACTAATGATGTTTATCTTCTTTTGAAAAATTTCTTTATAAATATAACTAAAATAATATATCTTTACAAAATTATAATATGATAAATAGTATATAATTTATATATAACAAATTTCTCCCAGTTTAAACTCTTGCTTTTCCTCAAGCAATTATGAAATCACCATTTGATTAACTTATTAGTCAAAGTAAAAATTGATATTTTAAAATTGCTAAAATATAAGATAATATATCACCATATAGAAGTAATTTAAAATGAACAAAATTATTATTCTAATTTAAAGATCATCATAATTATTCTAATCAATCACCCTTACTATTGCATGCATTAAACCTATCCACTATAAATGTACGTGTAAAGTTGACTTCTAATTTTAGAAATGAATAATATATTACTTAGGTTTTAGTTATATTTGTAGTTAAATTGAAAGTCATTAGTGCATAATTATATGTATTAGTTCACTTAACTTATCCTATTTAATTTAAGTATTAGGATACTTTTCGACTTGAGCTTCAACATATTCCAATTTTTGAATGCACTCATATTTTCCTTTTTCATATTTCCTTTTATGATTTTTCATATTTTCCCTTTTTAATATTTATGAAGTATATATTTAATGATTTTGAATATCCGTTTCACTTTCATTGTCCTAAAATCCAAATAAATTTAATTTAAGGATTTAATAAGGTTATTAATTCTTTATTTAAGTTTGCTATGATTGTTCTAATTTAAGCAACCCACTTTTTTTCCTAAGCTCAATTACTCAATCATTAAATTTAGCAGTTAGTGTATTAGTTTATAGTTTATAAATTCAATAGAGATCAATACATAAAGTTATTTTATTAGTTAATTATTAAGCTTTTAAATTATGAACTATTATGCATTGTTCATTCAAACTATCATCAAGGATTTTATAATTATCTTGATTATACATAACTTTTAATTATCATTTTTATTATGGCTAAATAAGCAATCAAAGTATAAGCACTTTGTAGAGAACAATACTCAATAGTTAAGCATAAAAGAAATTTAAATTAAATGTAAATAATATAATAAATTACACAAGAATAAGTAAAAACTAAATATAAAATAGACATGCCTTTGAATTGAATGATAATAAGCTCACAGACACTATAATATGACAATATAAACGTAAGATAACTAATGTATGAAGCACTATTCTCCTAATCTATGTCCATCCAAGATCCACATGATCTATTCTCATTAGAATAATAATAATGACTCTCATGGCCATAATATAATATCACTCAAAACATCACATCAAAATATCATGGGATTCCTCCCTAAGCAAAAGTAATGAAAAAGTAAATAAAAGAAAAATATGAAAAAAATAACTACAACCAACTCTCTCTCTCTCTCTCTCTCTCTCTCTCTCTCTCCCCCCCCACTCCCCCCTGCTCAAGACTGTTAGGAAGAACAAAAAAAAAAAAAAATCACTCCCATCACTCTGAGTCATGATCTTCTCCTCCTCCTCCTCCTCCTCCTCCCAATCATAATCATCATCAAGTTGGGTCAAAATAAATGACTGGTATTCTGGAGTAGTAGGGAAGTGTAGGTGGTTTGAATTCTCCACAAAGTGACTACTCCTAAACATTCCCACAAAAAAGTCTCATTGAATTTGGCTATATAGTGATAATGTTTTTCTTTCATACCCAAGTAGTGTACCTACCATTCCCTAATCTCCTCACAAAATTCACTCACCCCTCTATCTGATCCCACAAATAAGCTACTTCTTCATTATAAGATTTAGGAGTCCTAGAACTCTTACTACTACTGCTATTGGGACTATTAGCAAAACGAGGTCGCTAAGACCAGCCTCCTTTACACCTAGTCTTTTGAAACCCATAATTTTTCCTTTTATGAGGGCCAAAATAAGAAAAAGTTATTTTTTTCTTGGATCTCCAATCAATCTAGTGTTGACAAAAAAATCATAAATAAGAGAGGGGTACCCCAAGCCCATAGAGGTAGTGCCTATAATAATGTAAGTTAATGAATAGTAAATAAGCACCCCACATTAATAGTGTAGCCAACCTCAATAACATAATTAAGAATAGCACATTCTTTGGTTACCTCGCTAATATTTTTGCTGGGAAAAATTCATGCAGAAAGAAATTAATGCCAAGCTTTAGATAGCTATGTTAAGCAAGATACAAGAAAATTAATATTTTTCCTCCCTCTTCTTCCATATAGCCCTAGTCCAAGGCTTACATAAAACACTTAACAATTTAGTAGGATCTATAGGAATAGGACAAAAAGGGGTATACTCATCAAAATAAAAATCTTTAAACTTATATAGATGATTATTTGATATTGGGTCAAATGGTACCCACATGCCTCTAACATAACGCTTAATCTCAACATCCTCCTTCCCAATTTCAAAAACATATATTACCACATTGGTAATAACATCATGGGGTTCCTCACAAAAAAGCTCATCCCAACCCTAGTTCGTTATCAATTGCATTATCTACCCACTTAGGTTTTGAAAGCAATGCTCAAGGATTTATTTCTTGTTCACCACCATTGCCTCTTACCTTCACTCAGCCTCAACAAAGATGAATTTGCTCTGATCATAAGATGATGAAGCGCAGTTCTTATTACCAAAGATTTTTTTGGGCCATAACTAAAACATCTAAATAAGAAATATGCAAAGACTTGGAAAAAATGAGAGAAATAACATGGTAAAATTTTTTGAAATAGTCACATTGTGACTGTTAAGAGATCAACATTATGGCACCTAAAAAAATGATAAAGATTCAAATAAATAGATGCTACAGTTGAACAGGACACATGGCGTTGTGATGCTAGCCTTGGAAAATGAAACACTAGCTTCTTGAATAGGAAAATACAGTGGCACTTAACTTGTACAACCATCATGGCACTCATAAAGATTACTATAGCAACACTTCAACTAATATAATAATAATTTTGACCTAACACTATGGTGCTGGCACTCAATAATGTATCATAATATAAAAAGTTATGAAAGCATGACTATTTGAATACAACGCATAATACTGTAGAAATAACGAACCAATGCTACAATGCTTGATAGAATAACACTAAGGTGCTCGATAAGGAAAAATAACACCATTGTGTTTGATGATATAATGTTGTGGTGGTGCAATCACAAAAATTTTATTGAGGATTCAACGTAGTATTATTATTTTTGAATGTTGTAGCACTTGCAATGTGAATGTTGCAACAATTTAAAATATAACACTATGGCATTAGGTTAATTTTTAGTATAATAAATTTTTTCTCATCAAATTTTTCATAACTTAGTAAAAATTAAAATTAATAACTTATGTAAATAATATAATCACACACACATAATACATAATATAAAATAAGACAACATAATAACACATAAATAGAATATGGTTACCTCTGAAATAGTGCTAAATTTATAGTCTTCTGCCATACTTGCCTAAATTTATCATTTTGGTTGTAATGAATCATCACCACTTCCTATGTGGTCTCACACTATATTATTTTTGTTTCTCTTTTAGATTATTTTTAGTATTATTGGACAAAGTACCAAGAGATCTGCTACTATAAAATTACAAGTTGTCTTAATTTACTTTCTGAGTTTTCAATTGAAGTAGTCTGACTTTACAACTAGGTTCCTAATTGAATCATAACCTCTTCAAAAGGTGATTTCCTCTCTAAATTAATTGTTTTACTTAAAATCTTAGGGATATAGAGTTTTAGGATTTACTATAGGTTTTTAAAGATTATTCAATTTTATTCCTTGATTAAATTGACATGTATTTCACTTATTGTTACTGCCAATATTATTATTAGACCAACTAAAATTAGAGTGATTCCTCCAACTTGGATTATAAGTATTGGAATAAGGATTATTTTGTCTTCCAATCGAATTCACATTCTCAATCCCTTGTTCATGATTTTTATTAATAAAATTTAAATCATGCTATTTTAATTACACAGATGATCCTGATCCTAACTAGAACTGCCTTTAATAGTATATTACTTCTTAGAAATTACACCTATTTATGCGATCAAAAATGGATAATGTATCTGATTTGAACATTCAACTATTCCCTTAAGATTCACCATAATAGATGGATTTTAAAATTTCTTTGTAGCCATTTCCTTAATTAATTCATATGCTTCCTCAAATGGCTTAGATATTAAAGATCCACTAGCTTCCACATCTATGATCAACCTAGGGGATCATACTAATCTATTATAAAAAGTCTGAATAATCAACCAATCAAGTATGGTATGATGAGGACATTTTCTAAGCATTTTCTTAAATCTCTCCCAACTTTTATAAATTGACTCCCCTAATGGGAAAAAGATGTGATATTTTTCCTAAGTTTGTCAATTTTTATCATGGAAAATACTTAGCAAAATATTTATGTGCAAACTCATTCCAAGTAGTTAAAAAACTTAGGGGAAAGGAATTATTTAAAAAAATGGGAATAATATAACTATAATAATATAATTACTGACACCATTATACTTAAATATTGCATATGCTTATAAGAAGCTTGCTAAGCATGGGTTAGAATCCTCAACATGAGTTCCTCAAACTAAGAATTTTGATCCATAAGATGTATGGCAGGTTTTAGCTCAATGTTCTTGGCATGGATAGTAGGTCTATTGATACTCTAATGGATTGCCTATACTATAGGATTAACATACTCTTGATGGGTGGTGTGTGAGGCCAAGGCTTTGATATAGAATACATAATAAGTGCTTGTTTTGTAAAAATTGAGTAATACTTAAATTTTCTTTATTATGTTTATAATAAAAGCCCCACTGAATAGAGAGAAACTAGAGAGAGAAACTCTCATTTTTTTTTCAAAAAATAGTTTGGTGTGTATTACGTTCATCTTCTTCACTATTTTGGTAGGAGATGATGGTAGAAGGCCGCCGGTCACTAGCAGTCCCTCCGACATCCAGATCTCCATTATAGGAGAAGAATGGTCATTTCTTTGAAGATTTAATGTGGAAGAATTCTGACTCGATTCATGGTGCTGAAGGAAATTAAAAAAAAAGATATCATCAAGTATTATGATAAAAGACTATATGGAAATTGTTCCGAAGGTAAGTCCTCAGGTTGAAGGTAAAGGAAAGGGCATTGCTTGTGACTTTGATTGTAAAACTCCCTGTTTTGATAAGGTTTTTGGAATTTCTCCTTCTAAGCCTAGCAACAATCAAGCCTCATCATCAGGTTTGAAAACTTTTGTTAATATATTCAGGAATTCAAATGCAATCCCCGACAATGGTACGATAAATGCAAATTCCCTAAGTTCGTTTACCAAAAATATTCAAAATATGGAAGATGGTAAGGCTACTAATCTGGATTTTTCAGCAAGGAAATTTTCTTCAGGAGATAATCGGAATGAAGTCTCTATTTTTGATAAAATGCCCTTTAAGGGAGTTAATGGTGCTGGTATGAAAAATCCTTGGATTAAGAAAGAACATATCAAAGTCTCATTCAATTGTAAGGACAAAGTGTTGACAGAGGATGGCAAGGCCGTCAAACTGCTTGAAGACAGAGAGATTTCAAATGTTAACACTCTTAAAAACTCCTTGGTGACTAATTTTTTTGGCAAAGAGGTTCCGTTCCACATTATGGCTGTGGAATTAAGACGGTAATGGCTTCAATTCGACCAATTTCATTTTAACACTCTTGGGATGGGATGATTCTTGTGTTCTTTTAAGAATGTTGAAGCTTTGGAGGGAGCGCTCACTGGTGGCACTTGGTATGTGAATGGGCACATTATAGGTATGGATAAGCGGACACCAGAGTTTTCTCCTTTATCTATGAAAGGTTTAACATCTCCTATTTGGATAAGAATGCCCCATTTGCCCTTGCAGTGTTGGGATGAGGTGAATGTGGTAATTAGAATTGCTTCTATGGTTGGAACACCATTGATGTTAGATGGTAACATGTTTCAATGGGGAAGAAGGGAATTTGTAAGAGTTTGTATTCGTGTGAAGCTGGACCAAACTCTTCCCTTGGGGGTTTGGATGGAAATTTTAGTGGGCAGGTTCTTTAAGAAGGTGGAATATGATAGAATTTCTACTCTTTGTTTTAATTATGGATTGATTGGGCATGTTAAAAAAGATTGTAAGAAGAAAGAGGTGGAAACTAATGTGTTGGGTGTTGAAGCTCAGAAGGTTTATTTGGAGGTATTATGGTTTGTTGGAGGAAGGACTTAGCTTCATTTACTGTTTTAGAAACCTCATCTCAGGTTGTTGTTGGAGAATTGAGTATTATGTCTAAAGGTGTGTGGCTCATTGCTCTAGTTCATGGTAGTAATGATTCGTATAAAAGAAGAAGCTTATGGAATAATTCTAACATTAATTTGCCCATTATTATAGGAGGTGATTTCAACTGTATAATGTCTTAAGAGGACAAGAAAGGAGGTAAAAAATTTATTCTATCTCAAAGTGCTCAAGATATGAGAAACTTTATGAATTCTTGTGATCTACATGAAATGAAAGTCATTGGCCCAAAATTTACATGGTGTAATAACAATAAAGGTGGAGCTCGAATACTTGAAAGATTAGATAGATGCATTTTGAACAGAGCAGCCTTGGAAGCTATCCAAAACCTGGCTGTTTGACACCTACCACGTATAGCTTTAGATCATTGTCCCATTCTAATGAAGTTGTTGTCCCCTGCTATTTGGAAAAACAAAATTCTGAGATATGAAGAAGTTTGGTCCTCTTATCCTGCTTCAGCTGGTATTGTTGCTAAGTCCTGGGAAAAGAAAATGATGGGAGATGCGATTAACTCTCTTAATATGAGGTTCAGGAGAGCTTTGAAAGCTCTTTATTTCTAGAGCAAATCAAAAACATCAAAATCTGATGTTATTGAAGGAGAATTTGGAAAAAGAAATTTTGGATTTATAAATTGAGGAAGCTGAGGCGGGCTAACTGAAGATAAAATTATGTTGCTGAAATCTAAGGTTTATGAGATTAATATTACTCTTGCTCATCTTAATACGTGGTGGAGACAAAGAGCAAAAACTAATTGGCTAGTTGAAGGAGACTCCAACTCAAAGTTTTTTCATGCTTTTGCATCGGGAAGGCGTAATTCAAATTGGATTCACTAGATAAAAGATAGTGATGGGAAGTTGGTTGAGGACCAAAAATTGATTGAAGATGTGTTTTTTAATTATTTTAAAAACAAATGGGAGGAGAGGAACTGCAGAATGATGGGTTGGCCTAACCCTTTACATATGTTTAATGATTCAGACAAAGGAATTATAGTAGCATATTTCAGAGAAGAGGAGCTGAATAGAGTGGTTGATCAGCTGGAATCAAACATATCTCTAGGTATCGATGGAATTTCTTATTCTTTCATAAAATCTTATTGGCCTATTGTTAGAGGTAATGTTTGGAAGGCTATTCGTTCCTTTTTTTATGATGGGTTCTATGAGTCCAAGTTGGAAAGAGACTTTGGTTCTACTTATCCCTAAAATTGAAAATTTGATAAATCCCTCTAATTATAGACCTATAAGTCTTTGTTTGTCGATTTATAAGATGGTGACTAAGATGCTACTGAATAGAATGATTGTAGTTATCCCTAAGCTAATATATGAGGAACAGGCGGCATTTGTTAAAGGTCATTCTATCTCAGACCATATTCTATTAGCCCAAGAAGTGTGTAACAAATTTAGATATTCTAAATCCAAGAAAGGGCTTATGGCGATCAAAATAGATATGGAGCAAGCTTATGATAGCATGGGATGGTCTACTCTTAAACAAGTTTTGAAGAATTTCGGCTTTCCAGATATGTTTTCTAACTACCTTCTTCAATGTGTTACATACACTAATTTTTTTATAATGATTTATGGAAATAATTCAAGTTGGATTAAGACAAGGAGTGGGTTTAGGCAAGTTTGTCCCTTGTCTCCCTATCTCTTTATCTTATGTTCTCAACTTTTATCTGATGTTGTTGCCCAGAGAGGAAAGGGGTTGGGCATCAAAGTGGCTCCAAATGCAGAAAAATGTTTCTCATTTATTATATGTTGACAATATTGTTATGTTCTTGGAAGCCAATGTTAAAAGTGTAAAGAAGGCAAACAAAATCTTGGAGGATTACTGTAAGTGGTATGGATAGAAAGTGAATGTTCAAAAATCATCTATTTTATTTGGCAAATCGTTTATAAGATCGAGAAGAAGGAATTTGGCTAAAATCTTAGGGTTCAAAGTGGTGAAAGAATTAATGTATCTTGGCATCAAGATTGTATTGAGGAGTTTGACATGGCTGATTTTAATAATCTTTTGAAGAAGGCTAACAAATATTTGAATGTTTAGGGTAACCATTATATTTCTCTTGCAGGGAAGTTGATTCTTGTTAAATCTATTTTTTCTTCTATCCTTATTTTTCATATTACACATTCTTTAGTTCCGTTGGGCGTGCTCAAAGATTTGGATAGAATGTGTAGGGAATTTTTGTGGAACAAGCTTGGTGGAAGTAAAGGTTTACACTATGTTTCTTGGGAAGTGTTATGCAGTCCTAGAAGTATGCGAGGTCAAGTAGTCCAATCCATGGTTTCTAAAGTTAGTCCCTTCGAGCTAAATTTTCTTGGAACCTCATCTCCGAATCATATTCCTTACTTAATAGAGTATTATATGCTAAATATGGGAATCATTTGTGGAATTTTCACTTGAAAAGATATAGCTCTCCTACAGTGAAGATAATTTTAAATGGGTTCTATTCTCTAAAGGAAATTTTAAGATGGAAAGTTTCTTCGGGTAGCTATATTAACATCAAGGAAGATATTTGGATTTTTGATAAATGCTTTGCTAAATGGCCAACTTTTGTAGCAAATATGGAAGAGAATGTACAATTTCTGGAGCATTTTGTTGCTGAAGGAGAATAGAATGAAGTAAAATTGCGATTGTTTTTTGGTCTTCAGCTGGTGGAGACAATAAAGGGCGTCCCTATCTTTACTGATCTAGATGGGGATTGGATGGAACTCAAATACAAATATTCAGGAAAATCTCTATCTGTTTTAATTTCTATGAAATTGAAAGGGGATTGAGTTGAAATATTGAAACTCGATCACTATGAATTAGGTTGTTAAACCTAAGCTTATGTCCCAGCGGCTAACCAAGGGGGGGGGGTGAATTGGTAATTAAAAATTTAATCCCTCTTTTTTAATTTTTTAAACCAAAAAATAAACTTTAATGAGTTTTGTAGAAATAGATTTTGCAACCACAAATTAGAAACAAAAATCAACAAAATAAAAAAGTAACAAAAAATAAAAGACACAAGATTTATAGTTGTTCGGTCAAACTTGACCTTCATCCACTTCCCGAAGGCACCCTCCGAGTATTGCACTAATACCACTAG